CCTGAAGAAGAGGCTTCAGTGGTTGGATTTACAACATCTGATGCTAAAATTATTTCAGCAGGAGTTGTCTTCACTGAGCCTGAAGAGGAGGCTTCAGTGATTTTCTTCACCTTGGTTGCTAGAACAACTTTTGTGGATGATTTTACCTTAGTTGATTTCTCAGCCTTTGTTTACTTTCTTGCCCTTAGCTGGTGAACCAGCTTTGGCGGTAGAAGGACACTTGCTGGCAATATGTGTTTTCTCACCGCAATGTTTACACTTCCTAAAGCTAGGAGTAGCTTTAGGGCCAGGAAGTATCAGACTTGAAGTGGGACCAGCTCCAAGAATTCCCTTCTCAATGGTTCTAGGAAGAACCTTTGAGGAATTGGATTATTTAGGTGAAAAGTTCACCTTGAGCTGTGACTTGGATTTCTAATGGGATTCAGATTTCCTAGTCTCTGAAGAGGAAGAAGCTTTACAAGTTGAAGGAATAGACCTAGATCTATTAATCTTGTTAGACTTATTAGGAAGGGATACTTTGACAATGGATTTACCTTTGTCTTTGCACCCAGAACTCGAAGGAGTTCCTTCAAGATGACTCTCAGTAAAACAAGAGGAATGAGAGGAAGAAGTGTTGGGAATAGAATAGACGAAGGTACCAAATTTGAGCATGGTCTTGTCTTTAACACATTCTTCCTGATCATAGGAGAATCCTAGACCAGTCTTTGTCTTGGCGGGGATCTGAGCGTCAATGATCTCAGAGGCCTTGATGGAAGCTTTGAACCACCCTTCAATGATAGCTTTCTCGGTCTTGAGTTCAGCGATTGCTCGCTCATGCTCAACGATAGCCTTCTCACGTTCAACAGTGATGGCTTGGTTTACAATGACCTGATCTTTAAGATTTTCCTCAACAGAGGTCAGTTCTTTGATCTTAGAATGACAAATCTTCAATTGTTCTTGAAGACCAACCTTAAGCATCTCAGCTTTTGATTTGCCATTGAGGGCATTGTAAAGGTCAACCGTAAGCGTATCTAGTGCAGAAAGACTAGAAGAAGAAGAAGATGGTTCATTCAGGAAACATACCTGAGTAGAAGAAGAAGATGGCTCAGAGGAAGTAGACGCTTCAGAAGATCCTTCATCAGCATCTATGGCCATCAAGCAGACATAGGCTTTATCCTCTTCATCAGAAGATGATTCATCAGATGATTCAACCCAGTCATGCTCTTCAGCAATAAGACCTTTAGACTTTCGCTGGTTGTTCTTCATCTTCTTGTACTTCTCCTTCAGTTTTAAGTACTTTTCATCTTTGATCCTGAAGGAGAAAGGCAGAAAATGGCGTCGTAGTCTTCTTTGATCTGCATTCACCTGCAAAATGTCTGGGCCGGTGACAGTTGTGGCAGACAGCTGAAGCCTTCTCTATTCTTCCAGACTTTGGCTTCTCCTTGAGGGATAGCTGAGGAGATCTGCGGAAGTTGCTCTTACTAGCGAACCTCCTAAATGACTTAGTCAAGAGTGCCAGGGACTCATCAAAATCTGTTAAATCAGATTCTGGAACGTCCTCAGAAGAATCTATCTCCGTGATGACCACGGGAGGAAGAGAAGAAACAAAAGGGGTAGAGAAATTTTCAACTGAAGAAGCTTCATAGATCAAAGCTAAAGGAGAGCTTTTCATTTCCCTGGATTCTTTTACAAGATTCCTTTTTAGTTGACGAGATTGCTCATGGTTAAGCAGAATCCNATATTCCCTGCCGACAGCCCTAAGATCAATAAGAAGGCAGTTAAATCTCTGATGTACTTCAGACAGCGTCTCAGACTTTCCACAGAGAAAGCTTTCATACTRTCTTAYTAGATTGATCTTTCTAGTCTCCTGAACCTGAGTGGTTCCTTCATATTGGACATAGAGTGTATCCCACATGGATTTAGAGGTTTTCAGTTTCATCATTGAGTGATAAATCTCATCAGGAAGTGACATAGCTATTATAGACTGAGCACGCATGTCTATAGCTCTCTTCTTCTTGTCCTCATCGCTCCACTGATGTGGAAGGTTTGGAATCTGCCGTTCAGGAATCGCGGCAGTCGTAGCTGTTGCTGGAGCAATAGCAAATGGAATATATGGTCCATTTTCTATGTAATGTGGAATTTCAGGATCCACACCTTCCAGAAAGAGGGACATCCGGTTCTTCCAGAGACTAAAGTTGTCACGGACAAATCGGGGAGGTTTGGCAAGAGAGCCATTATCTTGTGTGTGTGTGTTTGCAATTTGTAAAGCCATTTGTAAGCGGTAAAGTTATCTAAGAAAGGAGATAAGCTAATACAGAAAACAGCTAAACACAAGAAAAGAAAGAAAACACTGGTCTGATACCACTTGTTGGTCCCGTGAGGGTCTACAAGAAGAGAAACAGTATGTAGAAGGGGGGGTGAATACAAACACAATATTTTCAAATTTAAAATATATATTAATAGAGAAGATCAATATAGATTTTACAAGATTATTTGCGGAAAGATAAGGTAATAAAAACTTATCTAAACAATCTTTGGTTACACACAAAACCTTAGCAAATTACAAGAAATGTAATTGCTGTAAAGAAGATCTTTTACTTAAGCTAGAAAATGCTTGAAGTAAGAATTAGGGTTAGAGAGTGAGTTGCGCGCACTCTACATGAAGAAGAAACACTTCTATTTATACCCAGTACATTAAATTTTCATTTAATGCAATATGATAGGGTTAGAGTGTGTGTCAAGCCTTAAGAGGAAGGTTTGTCCTTTGCTACAGTGAATAGTAAAAAGTACTATTCATGAGCAGACATCCTTACCTAAAGTTGGTGGACAAAGAGTCGACTAGTCGGCTCCGTACCGTACTAACTTTCGTAAGGGTATGGGTTTTTTCCTTTGTGTGCATAAGGACAAGACATCAACAATCGTGCTAAGCAAGCTTCATTTGATCGCTGAATGCTGGAATGACCTGAAGGTCTCATCATCATTCGCTGAAGCTTGAGCAGTCTTCACACATATATAGACAGACTTGTAATCATTGAGTACTGCTTCATATCACGTACTCGCCAGTCTCTAATCTTCAGTTTCAGTCTTCGACGTTTGCTGAAGGTTCTTTGGTGTGAGTGTTGTCTTCTTGAAGTATTGTTGTCTCTGATAGATTTATAAAGCAAGTTCTTCAGTGATCACTGAACATACTCAGTGAAGATCGCTGAAATTGAAAATACAGAAACATAAATACAACGTATAAGTGGAAAGGGATTATCATCAAATCATTGAGAGAGAGGATCAACATAAAGAACCAGATTCAACATATGAACCTGTTTTCAATATCTTAGAAAGATTGACCTGTGAATATAATAGATATATTCAGTACAAGGAATGTATTTCATATATGAGACTTTTTGATGTTCATCTCACCAGGACTTCCATTCAATCATTGATAGCTTGAAAAACATATATATGAATGTTATGACAAAATAACAAATATTTTGTATAAATTTATGCAGCATAGAAATGATAAAGAAACGAATGCTTTAATTTAGGCTCAAAAAGATAAACAGTGTGGACTACACAAATTTATGACACTTAATATGTGATCAGCAAGACTTGAAGGGGGGATATATATCATTCTTTTTTAATATCAGTTATCTCCAAATGAGAAACCGATAGATAATGAACTGCGTGTCCCAAATGTTAATTAAACACTTATCTTTTGAAAGATAAATGAGTAGTTGGTGGAGTTTTCAATATTAGTCTCGAAAGAGATGAGTACTAATAGATTGTGTTGTTTGCCCGGATTATAGTGGATAGAACAAGATTCTTTTATTCTTTAATACTAGAC